ACACACACACACACACACACACACACACACACACACACACACACACAAGCCAAGCTTCAGTGCTCTCACTATCTATTCAAAACACATACCAACTGTGGCAATCCAGGTGGAAAGACTATTAACCAATCTATCAAACAGCCCTGTGGTTTTTAAGTTCCTTCCTGAACCATCCCCTAAAGGAGTCCCCAAACAACAAGAAACATGATCCTGCCATTTCAACTTGGATTTGTCTTACATAATGTCCTAGGTCATGGAGTACACTTGGAGTCAACTGACTGATAACTGTGAAGTCATCCTGGGTACTTAAATCACAGTGGGCCATGGTCAATGCATGTAGCTTCCTGCTTGGAGAATACCACCAGCTACAGTACCAGGTCAGAGAACACACCCATGGAGCAGGTCAAGCATGCACGGACAGAGGCCTCCTCCCTCCCCAGGGAATGGGAAGCAGAGGCATCTAATGGCCCTGCAAACCACAGTGCATCATTGCAGCAGGTTCTTCCTGTCACAAAGGTCCTGGCCCTGGTTAGGGAGACAGGGCCTGGAGCCTTACCTGGAGAAATGCACCTCCGTGCACAGTTAACACCTGCTTATCTCATGATGCATCATGTCATCAGGGTGCTACGAAGAGGGTCTGAGTGGCAAGCGTAGTCCCTTCATCTTGCCACCTTTAGTATGAAGGCCTCTCATGACAGAGAGGGGAACCCAGTGAAAAACAGTTTCCTGCCAGCCTCTCTAAAAGCATTTTTCCAGAAACCACCTTAATTTGGCTCTGCCCTCATGCCCTCTGCTGTGTGCGCAACCTGTCCTCAAAGCCCAGCAACGGAGGAGTCAAAGGGCTCTGCCAAGTGCTGTTGGAGCACAGGTTTCTCAAGGCAGGATAGACGGTCCTGTGAGGGACTGGATAGCACAGGAGCCAGAGCAGTAGCTCAAGGCTGCTACAAGCCCCTGTGCAGGGACACCCTCCTTGTGTCCCTTGGCCCAGCCTCTATCCTTACACTCCTCAGGGACTGAGCTTTGCTGATTCTGCATCTCTTCTGAGAGATGGTCCACTCCTTCCTTTCATGGATCCTGCCAAGCACAGCTTTCTCTGTAAGCAATATATAGATGATGTGATATCTGCTTCCTGTTGATGTTAGATGAGTCAGCCAGAGCGTGAGGGCAGATAACACCCCTAACACATCCCACTGTGGCTGAGAGGAGCCCATCAGAGTCGCTCCTGAAGTCGCAATGAACTCTGAAATGCCTGGATCAGTGAGAGCCCAATAAATACTGCACCCATGAATAAGGCAGCTGGGGAAGGAGCCCAAAGGGGCCGCACTCAGTGAAGCACCAGGCACGAGAGGGACTTCTGTGTGGGTTTCCTTCCCTTCTGTCTGCCACTTGTCTCCCTTATGGCTCCGGGCACCCTGGCCTCTGAGACCACTTCCAGCAAGTGGCTTCTCGGGGGCACTGCCTGGACGCACATGTCCCCCACTTCAGGCTGTGGCTGCAAGCTGCTGCGCAGAAAGGAATGGAGAGTGACAGCCTGCTCTGGAACTGATGAGACCCTGTGTACAAACTGGGTGAGAGTCAGGAAGGCCTGCCAAGGCATTCCGCTCTCATCCATCTTCAGTCAACTGTAATAGCAGGAGGAGCTGAGGAGTACCACGAAGAGTATATTCGGACAATCTGAAGGACATTCTCGGGGGACCAACATCTGTTCTACTGTAGCTGCCACCAGCCTACTTCTGGCCATCAGTCCATCAGTACCCATGGACCCCTGCAGCAGCTTCCTTAGTGGCCTTCCAGCTCTGCGCCATACAGAAATGACATGCAGGGAATCCCACACAACAGTACCGCCTCAACACCAGATACAACACATCTGCTGGAAAATACCCCCAGGATATCATCACAGGGACACAGAAAGGAGGACCAGCATCTGGAGCACGGCCTACTGCATCCCTTGCCTTAAACCAAAAGCAACTGAGGGAATGCCAACACACAATTCCCTGTGAGAAGGCAAAGGCCGGTGGACAAAGGAGTGGGCTCCAGCATGAAGCACCTGTGCAGGTGTTTTCTGGTCGGCATGGCCTGTCGGTTCCGGGTCTAGGAGGTGCCACAGCAAAGAAGTTGGACTTAACTCGTCATGGCTCTGGCCACCCTGCCCAGTGGTAGGGTGGGTACAGAGCTGGAGGAGGCTGGAATTCCTGGGCAGTCCCGCCCAGGCCTCTTGGACCCAGGAGCACTTGTCACTGAGTGTTGT